GAAGAAGAAAATGCTGGACGGTGGGGAGAAAAGAGGGGCGAAAAGGGTTTGGCGAGAGTCAACACCTTTGTTTGTGGGAAAACGGAGGAGCAGAGCTTTAATTTTTTTTTTTTTTTTTTTAAATCCCGTTAATAATACAAATTAAAATATAATTTCGTTCGATACAACATAATTAGAATCCGTACAAATAACTAAATAAGTAAGTCCGATAACAACGTAAACAAAATTACAATAATACAGTACTACCTATGCCTAGAAGTCAACGTCGTCCAAAAAGCAAGTCGATCCGCGTAAAAATCTCGTAGAGGTAGTAAATTGGGAGCTGCAAAATACCTCCATTGAGGATGGAGACGAGGAAGAGGGCATGAAACCGGTACTCGTATGATCATAAAATGATCGTTATGTAGCGACATAGGAATAATACGTAATAACGCGGGGTTCCCAATTAGTGGTAGGTGAGTGATGCTACCCCGTTCAGTGAATATTAATACCATTGCGTTGTATCTTGTAGCGATCGCCATCTGTTGACATCCATTTCGTCCGTGGCGCCGGTCCCCTCTCATGACTGCATGTCAAGATATAATCAGCGACTGTATTTCGACCCCCCTCATCCCCACCAAAAATATTAGCATATAGATTGTAACGCTCCATAAACTCCTCAACCAAGTCAGTTCTGACTTGTGGCCATCTCTCTTGACTGCCGTAAACAACTTCGGCTATGCATCGGTAGCCACAATTTCCATCGGCCCTCACATTAACATATGAGGCTATGGACTGTGCGAGAAACGGAGGAAGGAATGAAAAGAAATTGACCCGGTCGCCGGCAGTAACAACTGATTCTTCCGTCGATTTAGTACATCCGCGAGGACGACCTTTAACCTTTGACTCTGGCGTATCAGCTTTAAATTTTGAGTCTGGCGTCCTTTCGGTCGGGGTTTTGCGACCCTTAGAGCCGGAAGAAGATTTAACCTCGGATTTCCGATTCATCGTGTGCTCATATCCGGACAAGTTCCTCTTCATTGAGTTATTCTTAGGTCGTCCCTTGGCCTTCACAAATGACGGCTCTTGTAAATACGTTGAAGAAGGATTATTTAGGTCCCGTAAATAGTCGGCCGCATTTTTTTGGGACATGTAATCTTTGTTTGATAACTTCTCGAACTCATCGAGAAGAACTTTCTTAATTGCAACTGTGCGATCAAACGGTTCCTCCTCGTCCTCCCATGGATCCGACTTTGGCTCGACAACCAACGTTCTCCAGAATGGATGTAACTGTTGCGGATAAAAAGTATCTCCCTCAGCAATTTTAACTGCAATCATACACGCACACGGGAGTCCGTGGGTTCGGCTTAGGTAACAGTTGCAACTATCCGGATTATTTTCCAATTTTTCGTACTCTTTATCCAACAGGTCCAGTGCTTTGTGTGATACGTTACATACCAAAGCACCGAAGCACGACAGTGAAGTACTGTACATCCTGACTGTTCTACTACTTTCGTTTTCCACCTTCAATTCATTAATTTGAAGGTCAACTTGCGCATCTAGTGCATTTTGAACTGTATCCATAGCTCCAGTCGATGTTTGGATCCAACGCTTCGATGCACGATGTGCACTCTCTACTCTGTTTCGAGAAAACACTCAAATAATGAATAAATGTAACATGTGTATAAAAGATTGTACGTAACGAGTTTATAGTAAAATCAATTTATATACCTATTAGTCGTCGTGTTACCGAAATGAACGATGTTGTTGGTCCAACACTTAACAAATCTCTCCTTATAAATCAACCACGTTTCATTGATGTAAGTTATCAGCTTCGGATATTGCCCGTACAAACTAACTATCTCTCTATAGTTGCATTCGTATTCTTCCTCAGTCTCAGATTCGACTAATTTTGCCCACACCGTCCTCCGGAACAGTATACCCAACTTGGTGTTACCCAAGAATTTTGACGCGTTTGCCTCAACGTTTATGTTTATGTGGCATGTGATGCGAATGTGGAAACACGTTTGGCAATGCTTTCAGTAGGCCCAGCTCACGATCTGTCAGTATCACTTCTGGTTCTATCCCGATTGGTAATATGTCTCGCAAACATCGCAATGTCCATGCATAAGTGTCCCCATCTTCACGTGACATAAAAGCAACGGCAATAGTGAAGTTCCTTCCCACGGGAGTAACCCCAATGATCTCCAAAAGAGGCATTTCATATCTACATGAAGGTAATTATAATTTAGTCAACTCTTACATATATATATATATATATATATATATATATATATATATATATATATATATATATATATATATATATATATATAATAAATGTAATACACATTTAAATAATTATTACCTGTTAGTCTTGTACGTGCAATCCATCAGGATGACGTATGGAAATAACTGCAAAAGCTTTATTGAATCAGGGTGCGCAAACATAACGTCTTGCACTGTATCACCAGCTGGATTTGTTCGATGCCATTTGCTGTATCCACTCTCACTTAGTTCGTGCCACAGATGTTGTATAACTGTTTTTCCTTTCATTTCCTCTCTTCTAATTTTCTGTGATTCATTGTACACTTCTCTCAAGGACGCAGCCGTATCCGGATTCATCTGCCTCAGATGATGCAAAATTTCCTTCGGCTTCACATGGCTCCTTTTCAGTATCTTTGTCACTTCTCGTTGCTCTTCAGTCAGGCGACTTAGCGAACGTAGTCCTTGTGGATATTTATGAGGATTATGATTGTGCTTGCCATTTTTGATGGTAAGGCGCCATAATCCATCACGACCCTCTTTACCCCATAGCGCAAAAGGGCATTTACACTTTATTGAACCGGACTTCCGGCTTGTTTCGACCTCTGCATTTTTTCCTCGACTCTTATAGGCTCTTTTGCAAGTCAAATATTGTCGGCCCTCGTGGTAAGACTGTCGCCTAATCTCATATCCATGACTGATGGCCATATTCATCGCCCAC